AAATACATTCCTTACTGCGCAATTCGCGTTGTTAGGAACGCGCTTTTTCAAATTTCCCGCGTTTGGGGGCAGTTTTTTAATCACCGGAAACGATAGCAAAAAGCGGGCTCGGTGATTTCCGGAAGATGCCGAGTCGTCGTTGTTGTTGTTGTTATTTTTCCTTCAGTTTGTTTACAAACCCAACGTGATCTCTTATAGTGGTCCATTTACGCTTTATGCGGTAACCAAATCGATCAACTTTTCAATATCCAACGCAATCCTTCTACATTTCATTTCACGATATCACGAGCTCAGATTTTTAGGTTATGTTGTCAATTTTATGTTGACCGGAAATAGCCGCGAGTTGCCGTTAGAAAACTGCCCCCAGACGCGGGAAATTTGAAAAAGCGCGTTCCTAACAACGCAAATTGTGCAGTAAGGAGTGTATTTCAGACTTTTTTAATGTGACCATCGTAATTTTTGTGTCATTTAACTTATAAATAGTCTATTCGCACGGTTGTATCTCTTGCTTGCAACAGGCCCATTTAGATACAACTTTAAAAAAAAAACCAGGTTTTAAGTTAAAAACTTCGTTGCTTTCTTATTCAAATGCTTAAAAATAAGGAAATTAACATTTTAAGCAGCTTAGGTACCAAGTCATCACCTATCCCCTTCAAAATACTCGCCAGCTTTGTCGATGCATTTTTGCCACCGTTTCTTCAATTGGGAGAACCACTGTTGGAAATCCTCAGGTTTGAATGATCGCAATTCTTTCAAGGTGTTCTCTTGAATTTCCGAATGGTTTGAAAACGTCGACCTTTCAAGGTAGATTTAAGTCGTGAAAATAAGAAGAAATCACACGGAGCAAGGTCAGGTGAATAAAGATGATGAGAGAGGACACTCGTGGCATTCTTTGCACAAATCCGCGAATTTGGAGGGATGCTTGGGCAGGTGCATTATCGTGATGCAGAAACCAGGAATTCTCTCTCCAAAGCTCGGGCCTTTTTCTGCGGACATTTTCGCGTAATCGTCTCAGAAGACCATTGTAATATTCTCGGTTGACAGTTTCAGATTGAGGGAATTACGATCACTCAAACCTGCGGATTTTCAACAGTGTTTCTCCCAATTGAAGAAACGGTGGCAAAAATGCATCGACAAAGCTGGCGAGTATTTTGAAGGGGATAGGTGATGACTTGGTACCTGAGCTGCTTAAAATGTTAATTTCCTTATTTTTAAGCATTTGAATAAGAAAGCAACGAAGTTTTTAACTTAAAACCTGGTTTTTTTTTTAAAGTTGTATCTAAATTTTCCTTGAAATAAAGACAAAAATCGCGCAACTCGAGTTTGACTTTCCTTTATTCCAAGCGTGTAGTTTCCTTACCAAGACGGATGTTTGCATTCTGTAAAAACAAGCATCAGCTAGCTTATCAGTAGCTTATCAGCTTTCAAACAAACCCAAGAAAACTTCATTACGACGCTCGGTTCGCCTTCCATGACAAAAGTCTGGTTTCTTTTGGGACAGCCCTCGTACAGACCAATCTCTCTACTCCCCGTGATTGCCAAGCTTTTTGAAGGGTTGTATATTAAAAGACTAAACGAAATAGTAAAAGACAAAAATTTAATCATAGACGCCCAATTTGGCTTTAGGGAGCAACACTCCACCGTTGACCAGCTTCATAGGGTCCCTAAATTCATTGAAGATTCCCTTGAACAAGGGGAATACTTTAAAGCGGTTTTTCTTGACGTAGCGCAGGCTTTTGATCGTGTTTGGCACGAGCGTCTCGTTGAAAAGCTATATAAAATGCTCCCTTGCAACCATGTGGAGCTCCTCTCCTCTTTTCTGTCAGGAAGACAGTTCAGAGTTCGATATGAAAATTCAGTCTCAAGCTGCAGACGGATTGAGGCGGGAGTTCCGCAGGATTCCTGTCTTTCTCCTCTTCTCTACTCTCTCTTTACTACAGACATCCCACAGTCTGGGAGGGGGGGAAAGTTGGGCATTTACGCAGACGACACTCTCGTGTTATCTTCGTCCAGAAGCTACAGGGAGGCACGACAAAATGCACAAATGCATTTGAATAAAATTAATCGTTGGACGGAAAAAGACAAAACAAAATTGAACGCATCTAAGTCGGTCGAAGTTGTTTTCACAAATAGACCGTTTAGTCACATCCCTCTTCTCTTAGGAGACACTGAAATTCAAAATTGCAAAATATCTCGGCCTACATCTGGATTCCAGGCTCATATAGGGTACCCACATTAAGAAAAAAGTCGCTCAACTGCGACTAAAATTCTCCAATATGCAGTGGCTCTTGGGTCGCAAATCTAGGCTTTCACTTCAACTAAAGCTGCTTCTCTACAAGTCAATGTTGAGGCCGGTTTGGAGTTATGGTTGCCAATTGTGAGGTTGTGCAGCCAAGTCAAATTTAGATAAAATTGATGAAGTTATACAGATGAAAATACTCAGAAGTATTGTTAAAGCTCGTTGGTTTGAGAGGAATGCTGATATTCACGCTGACCTCGATATTGACTCTGTAGAGAACTACATCACCAAGATGTACTCTGCATATGAACTGAGATTGCATCGGCACCCCAACCAAGAAGCGCTTGCGCTCTTGAAATGGGACCAATGTAGTCGCAGGTTGAAAAGACGTAAGCCCTATGAGCTTGGAATTCAGGGTTTTTCAAAAAATTTTCCCATAAAACAAGTGTGCCTCCCCGTACCTTCGGACGGATCAGGGGCTCCTCGATCTTTGACTGGTGACGGTCGATCACAGTCTTTTTAATACAACAAAAGAAAAAGACGAACAAAATTAAAACAAAAAGACATTTTTATTATGAAATAAATATGTACTTTTAATCTCCTCACTACTTTGAGCGTGTAAATATTTATCTAACAATAGTTAGTTAAAATTAAAATGTATTTTATTTGAAAGTTAAAATTTAATTGTATAATATAGATTTAAGTTACTTACTTAAGTTAAAATAAGCTTTTAAAGACATCATCAACAACAACATTGCATTAAAATGCGAAAAGTCACAGAAGAGCTTCAAACTTAACATCAAATCCGAGTGGAACTTCTTGCCAATGTTAACGCAAACGCAGCCTGCGACTTTAAAGTGAGTTTTCAAAACTCTTAGCCCCCTGCCCTCCCCCCCTCATTTTTGGTTGCAGAGCAGGTAAAAACCGGGAAATTTACTACAAATAATGACCGAAACTAATGTCCAACTTGAGGAGGACCCTTGAAATGTTGCGATCAGTCGGAGCATTGAAATACAAGGACTGCAACCCCCTTAAAGTACGGAAACATCCAAAACAACTCCGCTGCCCCCCTCATTTTTCGTTACGGAGCGGGTAAAAACCGGGAAAATCGCCAGAAATGATGCCCCGGTTCTTACCAGCTCTGCAACGAAAAAAGAGGGGGGCAGCGGGGGTTTTATGGGTGTTTCCGTCCTTAAAGTGGGCGGCAGTTCCTGTGTTGCAGTTCTCCGACT